CATCAGCATCAGCATCAGCATCAGCATCAACGCCATGGCGGCAGGGGAAGTGGTGGTGATGGGGATCGGGTGTAATGTTTTTCGATCGATGTGGCTACGATATAGCATTCTTGATTTTGTATCTTATTACTCTGTACTCTATGCATATTATGGTTCTTATTCTTGGATTGGATCTCCCCTTTGTTTTTTCATCTTTTTTTTCTTCATCTTTTTTTTTTTTTTTTCGATTGACTTTTTACGTCCTGTATTTCCCTTTTCTCCGGCATAGCATTGAGATCCCCCTTTTGACATTTTTTCTTCTTCTTCTTCTTCTTCTTCTTCTTTCCGCCGTCTTTCTTTTCGACATTGTTGCAAGCGATAGACGAAGTGGAGTTTAGCGGGGTTTGGTGTACATACTTTCTATTTTCTCTGTATGAACATACATTGTTTAAGGCTCATAGGTAAATATCTGATGGCAATAGAAACTTTCCATTCCATTTCATACAAGTAGCATATGTCATAGAGTGATACAAGAGTGTCAAATGTCCGACAATATATAGGTATTTTTCTATACCTCACACACTAACCATAAAGTAATGTAAATATCCATTCAGGTTACATCCTCCGGGCTGGTTGCCCCAGAAAAGTCAGGGTCAGCTGTTGACTCCTTATATGTACTTCTATCCGCACTGCGTCTCCATAGAAGCTAAGCGAGAGATTTGAAAAGAGGTAATATATATATATTCTCCCGCGGTATCACAGGCCCCGACTCCTGAGCTATCCAGCTCTGCCTGAACGGTAGATCTTCAGCTGAGCAGGTTCCCGGAGTTGGTTTTTGTTGCCAGAGCTCCATGGAGGGGGCAAAAGGAGGGGGGGGGGGGCAATGGGGGCAAAGGGGCAAACTGCAAAGTGGGCACTCGAGGCTTGGGGGCCCCCTCGGATTGATGCGGTGGGTAATTAAACTCAACTAGCCACCACAGAAATCGAAAAAGGGAGTAAAAACCAATTTTTTTTTTTTTTTTTTTTTTTTTTTTTTTTTAAAAAAGGGTTTGTCATATGAGAAGAAAGAATGGAAATTTAACCTTGAGAAAAAAAAAAAAGGCGGGAAGCACGGGGTTAAAAGGGTGGAGAGTGAGAGGTTCGGATGGGAGAGGGATAGGTTGAGGTTTAGGTGAGGTGAGGTGAGGTGAGGTGAGGGGTAAAGGAAAAAAACACTAGAGACGGTTGACGGTTGTTGGCTGGCTAAGAGAGGTTAACCTAGGCGCAGGCATGGGACATGGGGACGGGAACGGGGATTCAAGGAAATTAGATCATTGTGGCCTGCTCCGGAACAAGTACATGACAATGTGGTGGTGGTTATAGAACATTGGAGGATGGGGATAGCTATAGCTAAGCTGCCCCAGGGTACTACCCGGACGGAGGAGGCACAGACACGGCGTTGTATCTAGACAGCTTTGTTCAGCTTGGTCGAGAGCCTATGTATGGTGATATTTATGAAGCAGTTATGTATGTATATGTAAATAGAATGAAACATTAATATGAAATATGCTCATTTATCCATGAGGCATTGGGATTGAAGCAGCACGGTACGGACAGGAGTTAATGAGTAACTCTAATAGAGCTTGTTCTTGTCGGACAACCAACTCAACACCTGGGTCGGCATGTAGTTAACTGGCAGTTGGTTATTTGTCCCTGGAAGAAGTATTGGTGTCGATTATTGCCGGATGAATTCAACCGTTGCAGAATCTCCGATCGGATTGCGTCCCAATTGGTGTGCAGTCATATATTCAAAGACTCATCCACAGAGAGAATCTGCAGGAGGAGAGAATGATCATTGCTCACTAGTTCAAGCTGGTTTGAACGGGATGCCAATGAACTTGAAAAACCCTAACCTGAAGCCACCGACCCCTCCTTCGACCTGGTCTGACCCCTCCACGAGTCCCAAGCCTCGAGCCTTGTTTAAAAATAAATAAAAAGGAAGTTTAAAAATAAAATAGCAAAAACCCTGAAAAAAGGCGACCGGCAGATTGCCCGTCGAAGGCAAGCCAATTTTAGGCCATTCAGACCCTGTGCAACCGATGAGCGCGGACGAAGAGAGCAAATGAACAACCCGCTGGCAGCTGGCAGCTGGCAGCTGGCAGCTTGGCCCAGCTCTTGAGAGAAAAGTGTCAATGTCAAGCCGTAGCTCCAGCTCGTCTCCCCTTCCTTCAGCTGAAATCAAGCTAAGAAACTATCAGAGTCGCAAGTTAAGACGAAACTAGTTGATTTAAAGAGATTATTAATATAAGATGACGTTTCCCACACCGTTACAGCCAGGGCCGAGGAAACACAGCGGATGTAACTATGTCGACGGTATCCTTGCCCGGCTGCGGAGGAAGCATAAACCACCAGCAACCAGCACAAAGTAAAATAACTTCGGAGCGTTGATGTCCACAACGGAATCTCTTTTCAATGAAGTAAACTTAAACTCTCCAACGGCTTAAGTCTCTCTCTCAGAGCAGTTGTTAACTCTGCTGCTTTTTCTGAACTTTCTAATTATTCTGACGATAGATATTCTGCTCCGCACCTCCTCTCCTCCCGGCAGCTCCGGCTAATACTTGTGTTATTTCTGCTTCTGCTTTTGTTGCCTCTTCTCATCTTCGTCTCATCTCGTCTCATCCAACCATCGCATCCCGCCAATTCCAGCTCTGCTCTCTCCTCCCCCTAAATTTTCAAGCTACCTACCCACCTTCATCCACTCATCCACTCATCCACTCATCCACTCATCCACTCATCCACTCATCCACTCATCCACTCATCCACTCGTCGTCGGTTACCAATAGGCTCTTTTAGTAAGGTTATTTTATTCCCAAGTTCCACGGTTTCATCATCGAACCGGGCGCCATCTTCCACTCTCTCTCTCTCTCTCTCTCTCTCACACACACACACACACACTCTCACTCTCACTCGCTCTCTCGCTCTCTCGCTTTCTCCGACCATCGCCCAACCAACTCCGACCATTCTCTCCCACTTTCAAAACCCCCTCGCAACGCCCACGATAAACCGCCCGCCGTCCGCACAGCTCCTTTTTCCGTGATTTTTTTTTTTTTTCTTTTTTCTTTTCTTTTCGCTACCTGTTGGACTCTTCTATTGTTCACACATGTCAACCATCCACCGCCTCTCCAAATATTTCAATCTGTCCTAGCCGACCGATTTCTTCCCCTTCCGCATTCCTTTTTTAACCCCTTTCGTTCCCTCGCCTCCTCTCCTCTCTCTTGAGTTCCTCTTCCACCTATTAATCCATCATCTTGCATCTTCCATGCAGCTATCCACTTCAACCTTGCACACAGCTATTCTATCGTGATCCTCAGGATTAGCATTATTGTTACCTACCCGGGTACCTAGGTGGCATATCCATCATTTTCACCAGTCTGCTTATTTGCCAACCATCCATTCACCCATTCCACCCATCCAACCGGCAACTCCTCTTTTCTCTCGCTCTCTCTCTCTCTCGCTCTCTCACCCTCGACCATCCCCAACCATCCCATCTTGATCACATTTTAATTTTGGGAGAGCATGCGCAGCAGCTTCTCTTCTCGTCAGCTGTTGTCAATCTCTCCAAATCTTCATCCTCGTCGCTACCGCCAGCGCATCATCGCGATCATCTAACCCGACTCCCGCTCTTCCCGATCAACCTGAATCACAGCTTCACGGCTCCTACAGCTGGAACCAACATTAAACCAATATCTTTGCGGAGTCGATAACGTAGTCTCCGTTGTAAAGAATTATTTAAACAAGACTATCATTATCCGTTTCCGTTTTCAATCACGATTCGATTCCGGCCCAGCGCACACCTCGTTATCGATAGTTATCTCATCGTTTTTCGAGTAGGCCGTTTTGACTGCCCTTTATCTAACTGCTGGACTTTGGAATCGACCAAAAATCGCTCCTTCAAAAGCCCCTCCATCTTCCCCGCCACCAACGCCATCCTCACAGATCACGAGAGAAAATAGATACATATATATTGTTTGAATCACAGAGAAGAAGGAAGAAGAAGAAGAAGCAAGAGTTACAAAAAGGCCAGGAAAATAGGCAGAAGGGTTACATGCAGACAATGCCACCGCGAGCTTCCCTGACCAGTTCCTTTTCCGTCTCCGACGCCAACAATGAAGTCGTCTGTCCCTTGACCAACAATGACGGCTCCAATTGTCGTAAACGATGCTTGGGCGTGAGTTTGCCCAAATTTGTTCTTCCTCCCCTGCGCACAATTGCCTCCCCCTCCCCCTTTCACCCCCATGACAAAGAGCAAAATAAGAATAAAAAATACAATATAAATCAAAAAGGATAAAATAAACATTATATTGCGACTACAGCTCTATAAGCTATCCCACCCAGCCATTTCCATCTCGAGCTCTTCCCTAATTATGTATAATATAGGAAAAACGCTACCGCTCTATGCAAGAGCACATCCGCCGTGCCCATCCAAACCACTACATCCCCAAGCTACCCGCAACTGAAGAAAGCTTCCAGCTTATGGTGAACACCCCACCAGAGCAGAGGTCACATGGCCTTCCTCAGCCCAACACGTCCCATCCGCGACGGGGTCCTGGTGCGTATTCCCTGTAATCTGTTATCAGACCATTTGAAGATTGCTATTGTTCTTGTTTGATTTAAAAGGTGTGGGGTTGCTGACGAATTTCCGCTTTTTTGCGTTGCTTGGCATTGTTTTAGGTGACCCTGGCGATAGGGATATCTTTGGTACTTCACACGATCGAAGCTCTCCCAGGACTCCTCGAACGCTTGATGAAGCGCATCCAGCTGCAGCTACTGCGGCTGTTGCGTTGGCGCAGCTTCATCACCATCGGTTGACGGGAGATTGGGATTCTGAACCGGTGTGTTTTCACCTACCCACACCTATGTTCTTTTTTATTCATCATGTCCCCATTACTTTTGCCGCACACATACCCTGAAAACCCAATGCGCAACCACCAAACCAGCTAAAATAAAACCAGGACATCCACTCTGACATTGATATCCGTCGCGACCGCATGCGATCCTCGATTGAACTCCCTCCTCTCCGCGACCATTTCAAACAACAACGTCACCAACAAGACGCCACAATTCCCCCCTTCCAATCCACTTCCTCTGTCTCACGACCACGCGAACTCCTCCCTTCTATCCTCTCCCACTCTCCGCCAGGCCGCTCCTCGACACTGCCTCCCATCCAACGGCGGGAGAAGCTGCAGCGTTCACGTAAGGGTTCTTTGACACAGTCTGCGCGGAGGGCTCGGCATGAACGAAATCGATCAAAGGAGTTTGGACGCAGACCCAGCTTGAATGAGCGGAAGGCATTGTCCGCTGAACCGCAGACGGCGGCCTGGGTACAGGGGAAGAGGTGGGAGGATTTGATCGAGGCGGCGACGTCCGCAACCGAGGTTGATGATCGGGATTTGACGCCGGTATGTATCATCAAGGAGATATGCGGTTGCCCTTGCGTTCAAAACTTTCCTGCCGCTTTAATATAGAAAACCATAACACTAACCATTAAACTAGGTTTCCAAATCTCCCCAATTCAACCCCTTCAACCATAACGTCACCTCCGCCCCTTCAACGACAAAACACCGCTCCTCCCTCCCACCCGCCTTCCAATCCTCATCAATACCGGGCCTCCCCACCCCGCAACCGCACTACCGCCAACTCCCACCGCCCTCACTCTCCTACACAGCCTCCCCCCTGCAAAAAGCCCTGACTCCACCCCCCTACGAACCCCACAACAGCAACCCCAACCCTAATGTCGCAGACAACGACCTGGAACCCTTCCCCTCCATTGAATCCTCCCTGGACTCCACCTCCACCTCCTCAATCTCCATCTCAACCTCCATATCTGGCAAAAACTTCCACATGTCCTCCACAGGCCTCGCATCGGGAACGTCAAATAACTCAGACTCCAGCCCCATCCAGCCCCCCGCGCCCCGACCATCACTCCCAAGCTCATCATACAACACGCACAACCCTTCGTCGCATCCGCAGCAGCTGCAGAATCACCACCACCACCATCATCATCACCACCACCAACAGCAGCAGCAGCAGCAGCAACAGCATTACCATCACCTCTACAACCCCAACCACCGTCCCCACCACCGCCTTTCCAACCCCACCCCCCTTTCCTCCTCCAGCATCACATTGGCCGGAAACAAAGGCATACAGATCTACTGCGCCAACTGCTCGCGCCCCTGGCCCGTCCGCGACTGCTTCGCTTGCACGAACTGTATATGCGGCGTGTGTCGTGAGTGTGTTAGTGTAGTTATGGGCGGAGGAGGAGGAGGGGGTGGCTTGCAGACGACGAGCGCTGGGCAGCCGGCGTCGATTTTGAATCTGAGCGGCGGCGCCGATGGGGATGGTGGTGCTGGGAGTGGGAGTGGGAGTGGGAGTGGGAATGGGAATGGGAATGGGGTGAGGCAGGAAGGTATGCAGGTGCAGGGGCAGGGACGGAAGGGGTGTCCGCACTGTGGGATTATGGGGGGATTGTGGAAGGGGATTCAGTTGGATTTTCGGTGATCTCAAGTTATATATATAATTATTGTTGGGGGGCGGGGCGGGGGGGTGGAACCCCCCTCCCCCTTCTTTTTATATGCCCCCCCCCCACCGTACCACCCTGGTTTTTCGAATGAGATTACCCCCACCTTACAATTTGTTCCTTTCCG